TTTCTTATTATAATATTATAATATTATGAACAACCTGAAACTTTAAGAAAAAATTCAATTTCAACACAATGTTTTAACATGAACTTGTATGCAAATAGGAATAAGTCAATTTTTCTTGGAAAATCCTGCACTCGTCTCCACTTTTCTCATGTTGGACATTTTTCTGATGAGGGTGTCACGGTCAACAGTCAAAACGATCGTCCTTTAAGAGCGTTTGGAAAGAGACAAGTCTTCATTTGTGCTGCTCTGGTGGGAGGGGCCACGTACAGAGACGCTGGAGACGCTGCTCTGCTCAGCACCGCAGAAAATTAACAATATTTTAATAGAAAATATAATTTAAATATTTTAGTAGAAAATCACCCAAGGGCCACATTAAAGATCTTGGAGGGCCAGATCTGGCCCCCGGGCCTTATGTTTGACACCTGTGGTTTACATGTTTATTAACGATCATGTTAATTTTGGCACCAATTGCACCAAATTTTAACTCTGTCGCCTGTTTTATTAACATTTGTGATGTTTGCCTCGGCCAACGTTAACGGCCAACGCACACTCAGACGCTTTGACGTGTGACAAAAGTACCACCCGCCCACACACACACACACACACACACACCCGGTCTCCCGCACACAACGAGGGCTCGATTCAGCACAACACCTCCTCCTCCTCCTCTCGGGCTTCTCTTCATGTAGGAAACACGTGCGTCGCTAAACTCATTATAACCTGGCCAAACCTCCGGCGTGTGGGTCTGACACGAGCCAAGTGACTCGGTGCAGAACCGCTGCCTGTCGCCCTCAACTCTCCCACTGGAAACACATTAGAGCTGAAGGAGGGAACAGCAGCCGCCTCTGGAACGCAGACGCTCTGGAGATAAAACCGGACGGCTCCATAGAGACGTCAGAGAACAGACCACATGCCTGTTGGAAACATTCAGATAACAGCGCCACAACACCTCTCTCAGTCTCTCTCTCTCTCTCTCCCTTCTCTTCTCTGCTCTCTCTCTTAGTCTCTCTCTCTCTCTCTCTCTCTCAGACTGTGATCACTCTCTCTCTAAGTCTCTCCTCTTCTCTTCTCTCTCAGTTTCTCTCGCTTCTCTTCTCAGTCTCTTCTCTTCTCTCTTTCACTCTCTCCCTTCTTTTCTCTCTCTCTCCTTTCTCTTCTCTCTCTCTCTGAGTCTCTCCTCTCCTCTTCTCTTTTCAGTCTCTCTGGCTTCTCGATTCTGTCTCTCCCTTCTCTTCTCTTCTCTTCTCGCTCTCTCTCCTTCTCTTCTCTTCCTCTCTCTCTAAGTCTCTCCCTTCTCTTCTCTTCTCTTCTCTTTGCTTGCTCAGTCAGTCTCTCTCTTCTCTCTGTCAGTCTCTTTTCTTCTCTTCTCTCTCTCCCTCAGACTGATCTCTCTCTCTCAGCTGCTCCCTTCTCTTCTCTCTCTCAGTCGCTCCTCTTCTCTCCCCCTTATATCTCTTCTCTTCTCTCTCTCTCTCCCCTTTATCTCTCTCCCTTCTCTTCTCTGTCTCTCCCTCTCTCGGTCAGTGTCTCTCCCTCTATCTCCCTCCCTTCCCTGCTCTCTCCCTCCCAGTCACTCCCTTCTCTTTGCTTCTCTCTCTCAGGCTTTCTCCCTCAGACTGTGATCTCTCTCTCATTCTCTCCTCTTCTATCTCTCTGTCTCTCTCTCTCGCTTCTCCAGACTATAATCTCTCCCTCAGTCTCTCTCTCTTCTCCTTCTCTGTCAGTCTCTCTCCCTCAGACTGTGATCTCTCTCTCATTCTCTCTCTCCTCTTCTCTCTCCATTCTCTTCTCTCTCTCTCCATCCATCAGACTGTGATCTCTCTCTGTCTCTCTCTCTGTTTTCTTGATGTGGACTGAGCGTGTTTACAGTCCTTTTTGTCCCTCTGGGGAGTCTGTCGTCCAGCAAAACACGACACATCAGAGCAGAGGAACAACAGACCGTACGTATCCAGAAATTATACTGTATGAAGATTCACAGTGGGGGCTTAATGTATTATTTCAGAAGTGGGCGCTGTACCACATTTTTTGGCATAAAAATGTAAAAAAAAACACAAAAAAAACAGAACTAGTTCAATTTAAAAAAGTTTGCAGCGATCCAAAGTTATTCCTCAATCATCTTATGCATTTTCACCATCCTGATTATTCACCAAGATGAGTTGATGAGCAAAATCACAACTTTCAGACACCAGAGTTTTACCGCCATCGTAAAACTAACCACAACTAGCATGCTACCCATGCACTTCCTGATTCTATGACTAGATAAAGACAGTAGCTGACCTATTTTGACCTGCTTATACAATTTATCTGGACCGGACAAGACAAACTTTGCTCAAGCACATGAGAAAAAATGAAGTATGAAGTCTTTTAAAGCCCGTTCTGATCATTTTAGTGCATAAGTACAAAAATACACCCGCAAGCAGCAATGATCGGCCCTCATCAGCAAAAGAGTTAGTGTCTTGCCTTGAATTTCCTGTCCAGTGCAGTCCTCTTGTGAATAGTACCATGTGAAGTAGACTGTACAGAAGACAACACACACCATTTACTGTATTTTCCGCAACACAGGGCGCTCTCTTAAGCCTCCAACCCCATCAAAAAACGAGTGCGCATCCCGCAATCCAGAGCGCCCCATACACGAATCCACTCGGGTGTCCCAGCACGACTTCAGTAAACTACAAAGCTGCAGACAGCGACCGCGTGGCAAAAAACGCCCACAGACACACTCATCACTCCACACGGACGAGGAACGGAACGGAGGAACGAACCGAAAAAGCGAGTGCAATGTGCCACTTCTAGACACAACTGAACAACTGAGTCACTGCGAACACGCCGACAATCCGTTGGTCCCAGACAGCACCCTCCCTACACGCCACAACTGAACAAAGCCCAGAGTCACCGTGAACGCATCAGACAAAGTCCCACTGACCCATCCAACTGTTGTGTTTCATTTAAAATCTGGTGCGGTTTATTTGTGAAAAAAGTTCGAAAATAGACCATTCAATGACAGTGCGCCTTATAATCCAGATCGCCTAATAGTGCAGAAAATACAGTATGTATTTATGGACACTGTATTGCCTTGCCTAAAGAATGTTCCACACTATGGCATTCTTTTTCGCCATGGAGACAAGCTGGTGACGCCGTGATGGTCAAGTTCCAGGTCCGATCGCAGTAAGGACACGTTTTTCAAGGTTATTTTTTAGCAATAAAAGCACCTGTAAAAGCAAAATATGTTTAATGTCATACTATGGAACATTCCAGGCAAAGTAATTACATCTCCATGGAGACAAACAGGTTAAAAGTTACATAATGAACCCTGAATACAATGTGTAACTATCTAGACCTTATATCCTGGATTTTAATATGGTATTGTAATATAACCATGGATAATATATTTAAAATTTTGCGAGCTTAATGGGAGTAAAATATGTTCTTTGTTTATAGAATTGTCAAAAACAGCAAACTACAAAGACCATAATCCTTTGCTTTGTTCTATGGAAGTCAACATAGAAAAAATATTTAACATTTCTCATTAAATACTACAATATGGAGCTAATACCACGAAAATAAAAAGGCCAAATATACCTAAATTGCAGGTAATCCAGGTTCTGTTTAATGTCTCTGTCGACGTTTTTATGCTGGGAGAAATTTGAGTTTTGAAAGAAGAATTTTTAGCATATTTTGAGGTGCGGCAGCTGGAACCGCTTTGAAATTCTCACAACAAACAGCTATTGACATATTGTTTCTTTGTTTATGACGCTTTTACTGAAAGACAGAAATTTGACTAAAGTTCATAAAGAGATGTTTTAAATAGTGGATAGAATAATATTTAAATTTTGCTTTAACCAAATTATGCTATGCTGAAGAAAAAAGGATATAATACATACATACACTGTATAATACACTTGGCATTCTTTTTCGCCATTGTGACTGATGGTCTTCCAGGTGATCGCAGTAAGACTTTTTCAAGGTTATTTAGCAATAAAAGCACCTGTAAAAGCAAAATATGTTTAATGTCATACTATGGAACATTCCAGGCAAAGTAATTACATCTCCATGGAGACAAACAGGTTAAAAGTTACATAATGAACCTGAATACAATGTGTAATATCTAGACCTTATATCCTGGATTTTAATATGCCATGGATAATATATTTAAAATTTTGCGAGCTTAATGGGAGTAATATGTTCTTTGTTTATAGAATTGTCAAAAACAGCAAACTACAAAGACCATAATCCTTTGCTTTGTTCTAGGGAAGTCAAGATAGAAAAAATATTTAACATTTCTCAATAAATACTACAATATGGAGCTAATACCACGAAAATAAAAAGGCCAAATATACCTAAATTGCAGGTAATCCAGGTTCTGTTTAATGTCTCTGTCGACGTTTTTATGCTGGGAGAAATTTGAGTTTTGAAAGAAGAATATTTTAGCATATTTTGAGGTGCGGCAGCTGGAACCGCTTTGAAATTCTCACAACAAACAGCTATTGAGAAGTCAAGTCAGAATGCTAAAAAAGAAAATAATAATAATAAAAAACATACTTTGTATCTTCTCTAGTTCTGTTTTCTATTTTTTGTCTAATATTCCTCCACAAAATGCCACCTAGAGCTTGAGATTAAAGGGTCCATATTACATTATTTTCTGATCTATGTTTTAATGTTGTCACAAACAGACCTGGTTGTGATACGTGTTTAAGTACTGTATTTTTCGGACTATAAGTCACGCTTTTTTCATGGTTTGGGTGGTTCTGTGACTTATACTCTGGTGCGACTTCTATATTAAAGTTTTCAGACTGACAGCATCGAGAGGCTCTAGGCTCGTGTGCCAGTATCTAGTACTACTATTACTCCTGTACCACTGTCACTTCACTCTACTGTGCATGTCTCCTGCAGAAAAAGCAGCTGTTCTGCTGCAAATAGTGAAATATAAGGCCGAAATTTGTGAGGGACTGGCTGAAAGCGAGGATGAAGAACACAGCTTCACGGCAACTGTGAGGATGCACCATGCAACTTTCCTGGAAGTCACTGGATGAATTGACAAATCCTGGACTTGAGTGACACCGAAACCATCCTGTCAGGATTCAGAAAAGCCGGAATAATTCTAACTGGAACTGATGCTGAGTCTGACGACAGCTACACATTTACCTCATGGATCTGTGGTTTATCTCTGCAGGTCACGCAGAAGTGACACCGAGGATGAAGAATTCAATGGATTTAGTGATTTGGAGTGAGATAAGGAGTTTGGTAAACTTATGTTCTGTTGTTTATCCTATAATTATCTGAATAACTGTTCATATATTACATTAACATATTAATGTGTATTCAGTCTGTTGTTCTCTGTTCTTTTGTTTTTACTAGAACTTGCCTTTCAAGATGAAATGTCGGTTCCTGGTCTCTGATTTTATAAAAATACAGCTTATTTTACCTTTTGTTAGAGATCAGCAATTCCAGGGCTGAAATGATCTGAATGAGTCTAGTGAAGGTGTATGGATCTTAAAAACACAGTGGAGCACTTCCACATGCAGTGTTTCCCGCAGAAAATTGGTTAGTCAAGGAAGGGGGGTCTAACACATCTTAATGAAACAGAATATATGGACAAGCAGTTGGTTGGACTGCGACTTATATATGTTTTTTCTTCTTCATTGCACATTTTTTGGCTGGTGCGACTTATACTCCCGAGCTTCTTATAGTCCAGAAAATACGGTAATCATTTATAATCAGTCTGTCTACATCAACAAAGCTCAAAATGCTCTGTTCCACCTTGTGATGTCAGGAAGCGGTGGTTTTCATGTTAACAGCTCCTTTTACCTTCAGTTCTGTAGAGATTGGCGATTCCAGGGCTGAAATCAACCAAGTGATTCTACGAAGGTGTATGGAGTTTAAAAACGGAGCAATTCCTGTATTATCACATGACATCACAAGGATGAACATGAGTGTTTTCAGTTTGAGAGAAGAACTCTGCCTAAATATGCTGGTTTTGTGTGTTAAAAGTGTGTGAATAAAACAAAACACCACTCCAGGTATGTTTAGGATGAGGAAACATTATAACTTCAGAAAACAGCGTGATACGGGCCTTTTAAGATATAAACAAAAGTTCAAATCCGCTTCAAATTCAGACCGCAGCTTGGGTTTGCACAATCTTCTCTGTGTGGTTCTCAACAAGGGACTTAACCCAGCCACAGTCCTGCTCCCCACTGCACGGATCTCACAGGGGGATGAAGACACCAAACATACCCCAGAGAGAGCGGAGGAAAGCGGGTTTAAACCAGCTCTGCTCCCCCCTCCTCAGCCATCTGACATCTGTGGTCCAATCACAGGGGCGGATCCAGTGTTTTGGGGGCCCTGTGCTCTATGTTGTTTGGGGGCCTAAGTACAGACGAGTGATTTATTAAGTATGAAAATCTGGTCAGACATTCAAATACTGTTCATTATTTAACTCTGTGCATGTACAAAAATGTTATGTATTATGACTTAAGGTTTAGTAACTCTCTAATAAAGAGGTTAGGAGTTCACATATTAATTAAATAGTTACTTGAGCCTAAATCATTCTTAATAAACTATTCGTTCATCGAGAATAAAAGGGCCCATATTACGTCATTTTCTGATCTATGTTATAATGTTGTTTCCTCCTCACATACAGACCTGGAGTTGTGTTTTGTTTCATTCACACATGTTTAACACACAAACCCTGTTCTTTTTCTAAAACTGAAAACACTCTGGTCCACCCTTTGATGTAACGTGCAGTGTTTCCCGCAGCGCTTTATAGTTAAGTAGCTTGAACCAGTTTCACTTCGTAGAAACCGTCTGACCTCACAGCATCAGGATTCATTCACTCGACGGTAGGTGGTTACTTTTTTATTTAACCGATCGCTGCTATTTGGTATGTAATGCACCACTAACGGGGATAACTGGTATATTAAGCTTTTCCCAAATCCCGTAGGAAGAAGGACAATAATGTCTTTGCGCTTGATAAAATTCACCAAACATTCTCTTTGTTCCGGCTTTAAATCCTCGATCTCGGGAATCACTGACAACACAGAATAAGTGGCTCTTCGCTGATTGGCTGGTGCCCGAACTTGCACTTCCGGGGTTTTTGCAAACCGTCTAGTGCAGGGGTGTCAAACTCATTTTGGTCCGGGGGCCAATCCAATCTACTTTGATCTCAAAGGGGCCGGATCAGAAAACTCATGGCATATATACCCCAAAAATAACATTAAGTTCAAATATTTGTGCAGAGAAACGCAAATCTATTACAGAAATATTTTTTAATTGATGAACTCTTTCTTTTACTAAATATTATAATATTATGAACAACCTGAAACTTTAAGCAAAATCCAATTTCAACACAATGTTTTAACTTTAACTTGTATGTAAATAGGAATAAGTCAATTTTTCTTGGAAAATTCTGCACTCGGCGTCCGCTTTTCTCATGTTGGACATTTTTCTGATGAGGGTGTCACGGTCAACAGTCAAAACGATCGTCCTTTAAGAGCGTTTGGAAAGAGACAAGTCTTCATTTGTGCTGCTCTGGTGGGAGGGGCCACGTACAGAGACGCTGGAGACACTGCTGTGCTAAGTGATGCAGAAAATTACCAATATTTTAATAGAAAATATAATTAAAATATTTTAGTAGAAAATCAGTCAAGGGCCAGATTAAAGGTCTTTGGAGGGCCGGATCTGGCCCCCGGGCCGTATGTTTGACACCTGTGGTCTAGTGTATTCCGATTCCTGACCTAGTCGAGCACAAGCACTAGGTTGCACCAGTCTGGCTAGCCATTACTTGCATTGAGGGGAATTGGTTGGGGGCCCCTCCAGGTTTGGGGGCCCTAGTCAGCCGCCTACTTTTGTCTTATGGTAGCAACGCCTCTGATTGAACCTTTAATGACGACGGGATGCTCGAAACAACCCAAAACCTTTTTATTACAGCGTATGTCTTTACCCAGGTCCAGGTGTCTAATGATGCATAGATCCCCCCTGTGTGTGTGTGTGTGTGTGTGTGTGTGCGGTGTGGCGGGTGATAACAGCAGGGGGCGCTCTGTGGGATATGGGTAAACGTCAGACTGGATCAGCTCGTGCTCCTCTGCTGTGTTCTGAGCCATGATAGATCGATTCCCTCTCAGCGGGAGGGTTTGCTCTGCTCAGATCCTGCTGCAGCGACATACATAATACATGGCTCACAAATGAAGGTCAGCGGGTTCACAACGGCAAAGTTACACCAGAAACTATAACGGAGAGCGTACGGGGGTTTGCTAACAGGGTCAAACATAAGATGAGGTCAAATCTGTCATCAGTATTCGGACAATCCTTCAGTGCCACAAGGGGCAAACCGAACAGTGAGCAGTGGGGGATTTTTCTCTGTATTTCGTGGTAGATTCTTTGTCGGGAAAACCTAACACAACACAGTAGAAACATTGGTGTACTTCTTCGTAGGGGACGTACAGTGAAAGCTAAACTGAGAAAGAAACAGGAAAATGGTTAGGAGTAGTAGTACAATGCTCAGACGATATTTTAAAGGTCCCGTATTACACAAAATGGACTCTTAAGACATGTTTGAATGGTGTTAGCTCCTCAAAAATAGACCTGGAGTTGTGTTTTGTTTCATTCACACATGTCTGAGTAGTGTTTTATTATTAGTCTGTCTACATCTCCAAAGCTCAAAGTACTTTGTTCCACCTTGTGATGTCATGTAGTGGTAGTTTTCAAGTTGCCAGCTCCTTTTTATCTTCAGTTCAGTAGAGATTACCGTATTTTCCGGGCTTGATTATAAGACGCACTGTCATTAAATGGTCCATTTTCGAACTTTTTTCACAAATAAACCGCACCGGACTTTAAACGAAACACAACAGTTGGATGGGTCAGTGGGACTTTGTTTAGCGGGTTCACGGTGACTCTCGGCTTTGTTCGCTGGATTGTCGGCGTGTTCGCAGTGACTCAGTTGTTCAGTTGTGGCTAGAAGTGGCACATTGCACTCGCTTTTTTCTCGTCGGCGTGGAGTGATGAGTGTGGCTGTCGGTGTTTTTCGTTGCGCAGTCGCTGTCTGCTCTGTGCGTGTTTGCGTGCGCTGCAGGTGGTGCGACTTTGTAGTTTACTGAAGTCGTGCTGGGACACCCGAGTGGATTCGTGTATGGGGCGCTCCGGATTGCGGGGCGCGCGGTCGTTTTTTGGCGGGGTTAGAGGCTTAAGAGCGCGTCTAATAATCCGGAAAATACGGTAGGGATGTAACGATACAGTCTCCCCACGATTCGATACGTAACTCACGATATTGATTTGATTTCAATACATTTTAAGTAATACAATAACACTACGATGTTAAGGAAATATTACGTACACACACATCATCACAGTACAAATGCTGTACAGCTGTAGTTTATATGTGAAGTGTTTTAGTTCATTTGGTTCATTGATTTACTCTACTCTTCATATAGAGTAGTAGAGGAGCGACACTATGATACTTTTCCTTCTTTGATGATGATCTGATGATTTCTTTTGCCCCTGAGTCTGTCTTTCAGTGTCAGTGCTGCTTTGCCTCGTCTCCAGCAGCAGAGACAGACAGCAGCTCCTCCCACACTGCCCTGCTACAACCTGCATCCTCTTTCTGGACACTAAAACTATGTTATATTACGTAGAAATGTCTCAGCAGACCGTTTTCTGAGTAAAACTCGTGAGATAGAGTCCGAGAAATAGATTGTGTATGTCGTGAGTTGCGTCACGTGAAACTGTACGAGCGCATTTGATTAAAGCCAATCCTAGGTGTAACAACATAAAATAAAAAGTGACTGAAAGATAAAACCCACCTCTGTTAGAATATTTCAGCTGTAAGTCCCTCTAGAGCGGTTTTCCTGTTGCATCTGCAGAGGACGCTGCGATACCTGTTTTCCTTTTGGCCCAAAATAAATGACAACACAGCGCGCTGGAGGGACACGTGTATTAAACAAACACGTGTATCGAATTGTGAGACCAGTATCGAATGACTCAAGATTATATTGAATATCGTAGAGATCAAACTCAAA